ACAAGTAAATTATACACAGTGCTTCATTCTTTCAAATTCACGAATTCAGCAATCCAAGTTTCTCTCTATTCAAACGAAAAATTTAGAATTTAATAGTCTGTTTTATAAATGTAAACAACGTTTTAATTTATATCATTTTCTTCCGAAAGCCCTATTTTAAAAACGTACATGGACAGTCGTTGAACATGGCACGAGGCTGATATCTCTCGCAACAAAAGTGGACTGCCGTGACAGCCACCATGTGTGACAAATAAGAACTATGCAGCCTTAAACTAGAGATGCTACAACAGCATATACTTTATCGCATTACTTCAAACTTAAGAGATTTCTGAAAATTCAGAGAGGTCAACGAAAATAATACATTCGTCATTATTTTAAGCTTTCCATGTTCTGTGTTAAAAAATCTCGGAACAAAAAAATTGGAGCGGTTTTGAAGAAAATGTTTTTTTTTATAATTTGCATTAATTTCAAGTAGAAAATACCATGGCATTACTTCAAGATCTGTCCTTCAACAGAAGATTGTAATAAGGAAAAAATCTCTATCTTGAATATTGTTATAGTGGGAAGACGTAGAAAAAATTGAAATTTTGCAACTTTTGAAAAGTTATGGATTTGAACAAAAATTAAACTTTAGATTATTTTAAGCATCCTTTACGCTATCTGTACACATATTCACAATATTGGAGTAAGTTTTGAGAAAATTTTGAAAATGTTTTTAAAGCTTCATGTAAATTTTCCCCCAAAATCAAAATAACCCTTTCAAACTCAGATAGCAACGAATTCATTTAAATCGATTGAAAAACATCAATTTTGGAGAAAATAGGCTTTACGTTTTTGGTGCTAGGTGTAAACAGACGAATAGGAGGACGAGCAGGCACTTTTGCGGTCAATCGATTTTTCGGTATCAAGGACTCACAAAACACAGGTTCTGACTACACAGCGTATTAGAGGAAATTGTTTTCCATTTACAGGAATAATATTGATCTACATTTTACTTAGCTGGGCCCAGCAATAAGTTTTTATAAATTCGCCTTTCTCCGCACGTTTAAAGTACTTTCTCTTCTTACAAATTAAGGGGGAGAATGTAGAAATGGTTATCAAATATTGAAACGCCTTCGTCGGAACACAAGAAAAACGACAAGTTTAAAAAATATTTTTTAGTTAAGTGAAGAAATAGTTTGAATAAAAATCAGTGTATATTTACTGGTAAAAATTGTATCAAGATTAGTGTATAAGACCGTCAATAGAGTAAAACACCTTGTCCTTGACCGCCGAATAAAGGCTCCGCTTAGGTTAGGTTACGTGGCACTGACGATGTATCAACTGGAAATCAGAGTTGAAAACTTGACTTTTTATCATTATGAAAATTGTATAACAGAAAATAAGTTATTTTGTTAAAAGTAAGATAAATCAATATACTTATATTGACCCATAATTATTTGTTATCATATTACTTGTTTTATATCAGTAAATTTAAGCATTAAAACTTCTTCCAGACTTCCTTAAAAGATGTAGGCATGATAAGGCTTGCTAGTTGTTTCCTTGAATCCTCGTATATCCCAGGTGACAGCACTGATATAAGTGTTTTCATTCATTTATGGTATTTATAGTTACATACTAGTGACCTGCAGCATAAAAAAATGCTACTGAATAAAGGCACACAAATTAGTTCTCCAAAAACTACCGAGACCACTAACAATGCATAACCTTTCGAAAATATGAATGTTTCGCGTATTTTTTGTGTAATATTTGCAATTTTTAAACAACTATTTTCTCAAAATCGGCTTCAATTTTTTTCTTTCAATTTATTTCCAAAATAAAGCAAAGTATACTTATAAAAAAATGACGCAGGTTCCATTTTCGGATAACTATGTATTTTTGAATACTGCAAAAAACTAACATTGAACAACTGCAAATTTATTATTTTTAAGATTTTTTCTCTGAATGAAATATGTTGTAAATATAGAACTTTATATAATCATGCACAATTTTCGAAAAAACAATAGCTTCGCGTATATTTTGCTAGAAAGAAAAGGATTTTTTCTCAAAAACTGCTCCAAATTTTCCTTTTATTTATTTTTTCTCGAATATCGCAAAAAAAATTAAAAGGACACAGTTCTGTTTTTCGTTAAACTCTGTTTTCAAAAATGTAAAAAGTTACAAATAATTCAAGAAAATATGTGCTGTTGTAGTATCTCTTTTTAATTTTTATATTTTTACATTCAAGTAAACAATGAATAGATTTCGTGTGGAATGAGATGTAAAAAGGGGACGACGATTCAAACAGTTCGGGTAGTCTGGTAGTTCGGGTTAGGGTATCAAAAAGCGTCAATTCTACACGGCCAATTGGCATCCGTTCCGTGAGTTATCGCCACATTTCGTAGGCGACTGCAAGACTCCGGCTTTAGGCTTCCGCTATTTACCTAAAACATCCTTGAGTCCAGCCAATGAAAAATTCAAAATACATATTTGGTTTCTCATGGCTCGTTTCTTTCGCGTAACTACTGCAATAAAGTATTTCTACTGAATTAAATACGCGCATTCCAAACATTTTCCACGTATCCATACAAATTAGCTGTTTGTACCCACTGAGAAGGCTGAGGAGACTGCTGTTGCCACTACAAGGTCTCTGAACGGGAAGTCCCAGGGTTCGACCCCCACGGTGACGAATGTGCGGAACTAGTTTCATGGCGAAGTCGATTTCCGGCTCTTATGGAGGGGAAATCTAGCGCCCGGATGTTTCGATCGGAAGTTTTCCGTGGTTACATGCCCCGCACATATAGGACTAGTCTGTGCCAGCTGAGGTGTCCAGAATTCCAAAATAATCAATCAATCAATCTAGATTAGCTGTTCCAAAAACCGCTCACTATCCGGCGGGTAGCGCCCTCTGAGAGAGAGCGAGGCCGTACCAGCTGTAAGCCGTAAGCGGACCATTGCTCCGCGGCGCCGCCAAGTTAAAATTCGGGGTCGCGGGGGGGAGCTGCCGCGTAGAGCGAGCGTAGCGTAGCGGGAGCAGGGTGAGGGGCCGGGGGGGGGGGCGCAGAGCCCAACGTAGCTATTTCCCTGGCGCAGGGTCAGCGCGCGGCCTCTCAGGATCTTTATGGCTCGCTCGCCGGCGTGGCGGCTGCAGATCGCAGATAGGCGGCCCGCGTAGTCACGATCAGATAGAGGCGACCCCTTAATTATTATTGGCACGCAGTGAGGAACTCCCCCGTCGCCCCTCCCTCCACTCCCCCCGAGCCGGGCGCCCCGTCGCGGCCCATCCCCTCGGAACGTGAGTGCCCGCTTATATGATAACGCCTGATATTATAACATCACCCCCCTCGTCCCCGCCTCGCCGCTCGCCCGGGTCCATTAAACTTTATCGGAACTGCGGACTACAAAAATGCTGCTCCTTCGCTGTTACGGATAATTAACAACTGGTCACGTGAGGTTCCATTACCGCTGCCGTCGCTTATCTTCCGCCGTGGCTTAAATTCAATTAATGTAATAATTGGTATTTAATGAAATAGAATGTGTGCGTGTTCCAATAGCCTCGAGGAGTCTCCTTTGCTAAAGTGAGACACGACGTATTTCGTTGTTGGCTCTGCTTCGTGGCTTGTGACAAATACCGAAGGCATTACTGCATCTGACAGATGTTATATCTAGAAAACGGGTCCCGGATAAGTGCATACTCCTAAATTTAAGTAGTGGAGGGGTTCATCCTCTTTAGTTGTACATTTTGAAGGGGAATTATCTAAGTTTTTAGGAAGTTTGCTAGGAATTAAAGGCATAACCGCCATTCCGATTAAACCTAGATTCTTAAAAAATTTTACAAACGATTTTTTGTTGAATCAATGGTGATTCGTCAATATTTACATCACTGATGTATTTCATGAATTATCGCAATTCCAGGTTTAAAAATTCTTCAATTTGTTTTAAATGAACTTTCACGAAATTCTTATAGTTTTCGAGTATCAGTGAGTCCAAAATTTTTGTGTACGATCAAATGACTTTTTCTTAAAAGGACTTCAAATTTTGTAGGGCAATGAAACATTGAGAAAATATGAGAAAACGTGAAAAATGTATTAATGCGTGTTTTATAAAACAATATTTACAATATAAATATTGCATAATAAAGATTGAATTAAACGAGTTAGTTATCAAGTTCTATTAATAAAGTTTTCATAACATTTTCTTTAGGGCTTGCGATGATGTTTTAGTAAAATATTTTTAATGAGTGGTGAATTAGTAAAAAGTTTTAAAAGCTAAAAGAATATTCGAGAATTGTTGCAATAGCAAAGAATTATTTTGAAAGTTAATCGGACATGAAATATCAGCGTTTAAATGATTTCAGCAGTTTTCAGCCGGTCATTTAGAAAGAGGAATTATTGATGAGACAAACTCATTTTCGGTCAAAAGGCTCCCATAACTTCTAAATTAAAAACTCCATTAGTTATGTGTATGAATGTAACCGACGCTGATCCTGGATTGTTTACCCGATATATTTTCTTTTATTAAGAATTTTTAATGCTGAACACTTGCAAAGGTACAGAGCAACGTACATCACTGATACACTTTTTTACCCTATAACTTTTAAATAAACCATTTAGTAATATCCATAATAATCGTTTTTACTGCCAATTACACAAGTCAAGTCTATAATTAAGTTCTTATCGTGTTTTCAAAAAGGGCTTTGTTTTTCGCGCGATACATTTACGCGATTTGATAGTCAGGGAGGGGGGTCTTACGGGTATTGTTTTCAATTGATCCATACATATGTAATAAATAAAATAAAAAATCTCCACCTATTTCAGAAAATCGAAATACTCGTAAATACAGTTATTTTTATAATGCACTTCAAAAATACAAAATGTGATTTCACACAATTACATCGTTAGACAAGCTCATTCATGCCTCGACGTTATAACATCCCTTTCTAAACAGTATCATTTATTCACAGTCAGCATTAAACAATTTAATTTCAATAATTTTGATTCACGTTTGAGCAGTGTACTTACGCTTGAGTCGCGCGTCACAGGCTGTGGCTGAACGGGCGACATCACGTGGCGTCGACGTGCGCCGGCCAGTTGCTGGCGCTTCTGGAATGATGACCTCCTTCGAAGAACTGAAGGCGCAGAGCGGCGGACACGCCCCCTTCTGTGCAGTGCGCGTCACGGAAGCCGCGCGGCAGATGTTTATCTGGCGTCACAAAAGAAGCGCACATCAAGCATTTGCGCAGGCTGTGTTATACGACCTGTAAGCTATAGCAAATATATCCATTTTCTTTCCAATAAAGGAGTCAAAATAACTTTTTGAAATAGGATACAAACACTATAATAAGTTATACAATATTAACTCAAAAGCACCGAGGTACCTGCAGTTAAGCTAAATTAACTCAATGTTATATGTGAGAGGGAATCTATTTTATATGTGAGATATTCAACTTTATGCCATTGTACATTTTTAAATTTTATTAATTTTTTAGGGAGTGAGCTTAGGATTACGTGTTTATAATGGTTACGGAGCTCTAATTTTTTTAGGAAGGCGTGTGTTGTTTCAAGTAGAATCATTACTGGATTTTCTCAGGTTGAAGAGTCTGGCACCGGGAATCAGGTTTACATCTTAGTTATGTGACGGTCTTAATGTGATTTTATAAATATGCTGGATTATGTCAGTTTACAGCGCCGATTAACGGTTTATTAGAGGATACAAGTTGAATAGTGTAGCATAAGTTTTGTTCAACCGATGGGTAAGGTGGGGTTTCCGCGAAAGATGTCATGAAAATACGAAAAATGAAAATGATTTTCTTAGAAAATGGTGATCTTATCGTGCCTCACGTGAAAAAAATCTTCTCACTACCGTGAGAACATGGAGAATGTCAACGTGAACCCGCGAACAAAATGGCGTTTTATTGAGGAGTTTTACCGCCATGCGTAATGTAGCGACGTTGGACACTAACAGACACGTGAAGGACCTTGAAGTCATAGCATCTTGCCTTAAGCCTAAGGCAATACCTTTACGGAGCACGCCTGTCTCTACAGTCACCTTACAAACGGCAAAATGCCGGTTGGAAAATGGAGGCCTAAATACAGGAAAGGTTGCATTTTCCAACTCTAGTAAACTGATTCTTGAATGTGAGGCAAATAAATGATTATTTACCAACTCCAAAACTCTGGTAAAAATTATCAGAAAACGTTGGAAACGTATCAGGTAAGCAATTCGCGAAAAATTGAAATGGAATATTTTTGTTCGGTTATGTCTCACGCTCATAACAAAGGCTGTTATTAGATATTATCTTCATTCTCAAGAAAAGCCTATTCAGAACTCAAGTCTATATACAGATCATGTAGGGCTACAAAATCGGAAATTCCTTGCTTAATGGAGATTTGTTTACTCTTGACTCGTAGGCCGTGGGTTCAATGTCTCGCGACTCGCCTACTCTCTTTTATACAATATGCAGCTTTTTTATTTGACGATTGAAATGCTTCTTTTGGTATAAGGCATAAACAGGGAGCGGATTAATATTTTTGCCGCCTGTAGGCACAACAAATTTGCCGTCCCCTGTTTAAAATTAATGTTACATTTCAAGTTGTAACGTTTCAGTAACAATTCCTCATTAATTTAAACGTTTTAACTTTGACAGTAAATTATATTTTGCACATTGTTTTCTTAAATTAAATATTTTTTTTGGCATTAGCTAATTTTGTATATAAACTGTATCTTCATAGCAGTACGTTCAACATTATTAACGTTTCAACACTGAAACGTTAACATTAAAGGGAAACTAAAACATGAAACTAGAATTGCAACATGTTTTCTTTCGTCAACGGGCCTTAGTTTCAGATTTATAACACTTCTGAAATTATAAGGTATACTCTAATGAAGTAGACAAATAAATAGCTTATATTAATATTAATATGATATTTTTAAAATAAAAATATGATTTATGCTATTTATGTTTTTAGAGAACCTAAATTTGTTTTAGAAAATATCAAGAAAATTTTGCGCCTTTGAAAATTTTGCCGCCGTAGGCACGTGCTTAGTGCCTATGCGTAAATCCACCTCTGGCATAAAGCAATGTAACTGCTAAAGCTTGTGTTCAGCAGTAAACACCGTAACCACCGACTAGTAAATTCGTGCGTGGCAAGAAATGGACTATTGATTCGAGAACGCAACAAAGGTGCTAATGTTGAATTACAAATATAAATTTGGATGTTCTTCTATCGAATGATGTTCGTAATGTGTCTCTATATATTATCGTTCATTTTGGGTAAATATTTGAAATCTGTCTCCTTCTTTTTAATCATTGGTATATAATTGAAAAGAAGATATAAATGTTTCTGTAAATTAATAATTACCTAGGTGGCGTTCCGGGCCCTTAAATTTTTGAAAACGAATGGTAGTAGTTGTATACTTTGTCTCTAAAAGTAGGTGATACCTAACAGTGAAATAAGAGTGATAATGAGAGTTGAAAATAACAGGAAATTCTAAAACTGCAATTTTCATATCGAACAACAAAATATGTTTATAATGAGACTTTTTCTTATTTGCAGTATTAGAACCATTTTTATTTTCTGTTTTCCGTACTTTAATACATCGATTCATAAAATAAGTTGTTTATTTGTTGAGTTGGTAGCGAGCGGGCGTAAAGTATTCAAAAGGCCCGTACGGCATAAAAAAATCGAAGAAGGCCGCAAGGGTATTAAGTAATCATTACGTGTTTTGTTTCAGGTCCATAAACACACAGTAATGAACTAGTAAACCATAAATTATATTACTAGTACTCACTGGAATAAACCTTTTTCTCTTTGGCTAGCGATATAGTAGTTCTTGTAGAGGGAACAAACAAAAACAAAAAAAATAATAAATTTACAAAATCGCTTGAATAACATTGTAAAATGGTCCAAGAAAAACAAAATTGAAATATTGTGTTAAAAAAGTAAGTATTTGTTCACGAGAAGAAACACATACTGTAATAGTAATAAAACGTGGAAACCAAAAAATGCCTGTCTTACTCGTCCTTGAAGGGGAAATATGACGCTAGTACTTAGGTGAATATTAGTGATGGCACATTACTTTTACCAGTTTTTTTCTCGCAATAGTCATATTTTCAAACCATAAATTTTGCCGCATTCGAAGGCATAACGTAATATTTTTTTTATTTTTTTTTTTCATTCGAAAGTACATATTCAGTTACATCACTTTATTCATATGTATTGTATGACTTCACAAATATTCTTATTCCTTCTAAAAACTACTCTAGCTACGGAACGGGTAAGGACTTCAATCTGCATCTACTCTTCACAATTGTTGGAAAATATGTTTAGGAAGGCATTTAAGGATAACGTTTTTTATTCGTGTTGGAGTATAGTCTGTTGAGGCGAGGTTGTATTGGCTGATGTGTGGTATAGAAATTGATATTTTGAATAAAAGTTATTGGAAAGATGGGCTATGTGTTTGATGATGGATTTTATATTCAATTCTTTTCGTAGTTGTTTGTTGGATATAAACCATGGTGCGTGAGTTTTAAACGGAGAAATCTATTTTGGTTTATTTGCAGTTTATTTATGGTGTGGGTGATGCGTTTTGTTAAACGTTAATACTGTGCACAGTTTTGTTATCGGACGACGGAGTCAGGCGGGCAAACGGACTTATCTACACGCAAATCTCGAAATCCATTTCTTGAGCAACCATTATCAAGGCGACCGCAATAATATTAAACATGACAAACTGAGAGGTCTTCTAATAAACCTGAACTTAAATATCTGGAAATGCTATATACTGAAATAATATGTAAATATACTATAGCTTTGCTATTTCACTAGCGTTGCTTCAACAACAATATATTTCTTTCCTCATTATTCTATATTCCAAGTTTCCGAAAATTTAGAGAGTTCAATGAAAATGAGACTGCGCCATTCTATTAAAGCTTCTCCTGTTCTATCCGTGAAACATTTAAAGAAAAAAAAGGAACGTCTTTTGAGAAAATGGTTTTTTTTATATATTCTACATTAACTTCAAGGCAGAAATTTGCCTCCAAAACTATAGTTTTTTCAAAAACAGTGAAGATGACCATTTTTTAAGATCTGATTTCTTAAAGAAAAAAAAAACAGATTTTGTTTGATACAAAATATCTGTCCTCAAATTGTGTTTTGTTTGTTTTGTGAATTTTTCGAAATAACGAGTTCGCCAGAAAATGGGAATTAGTCCAGGTTCTTTTCGTCTGTGATACATCCGAGAAGAAAATTTAAGAAAAAGTGAGCCATTTTTTAGAAAAAACATTCTTTTAAAATTGCTTTTTATTTCACCCAATTATGTATTATGTAAAATAACCAAAATTATTTCGAAAAAATTTGTGCGCTATCTTATTCAAGATTTGTTTTAAAGAACGGTTTTTTTATTCAGTATCTTCCATTGGAAAAAATGCTCTTCAATTATTGTAGAGGTAGGAGACGTCAAAAAATTTTAACTTAGGCAATTTTCCAAAAATCAGGTATTTCAAAGACTGAGTCATTATTTTTAGCAATATTTTACATTATCTGAGGACAAAGTTTTAATTCAAATAGTTGGAAGGCCGTTTGTGAGAAAATCTTGAAAATGTTTTTGAGGCTTCATGTTAACGCAAATATGAAAATATCCGTTTCAATCTGCAGAAATAATTTCTTTAAACGATCGTGTAAGTATTAATCTTGTGAAGAAAGATTGGCTTGAAAGGTGTAGGCGCTAACCGTTGACCACAGACATACGGACAGCCAAGACGACAATCAATCGATTTTTGGTTTCAGAACCATAAAATGGATTTCTGACAACACAAAGTGTTTGCGGAAGTATATGCCAAATGTGATACCGAGATATTTCGTTTTCTGTCGCACGATTACAATACCAATCTCTTCTTCCGGAACTTAAGGCGAGAAAGTAAAATTAATAAAAGAATGGTTTCTAAATATTTAACAAACGAATATAAAAATGTTGCTTAAAGAATTATCTGTGACCTCCTACTAACGGGCCTAACACGCTACGTTCTTTTGTATATTTACTCCATCTCTGAGTGCAATAACTTTACTCTGGAATTCTTTGGTTTTATTTAAATTATTAACTTGGTAAAACGTAAATTAAATGTTATGAAACTAAATCCATGTTTTCTTTTCACCTGTTCAAGAGTTATTTCGAAGTATTACCAGTTTACGAGTCTCTTAACAATCGTCATCGGAAAAATATTCATTTTGATGACTATTTCATGAATTATACAACTAGTTTATTATTATTTATTATGTAATTATGTCTTATTAGCTCATTTCTTTTTTTCTCGTTATTTTTCAAGAATATTCAGTGGATCCGCAAAATTGTTCTGCCCTTCATCTTTCCCTCTTTCTTCATGAAGCGGGATTTCTGATCTTTTACTGTGGAAGGGGGCAAAGGCTCCCCCCCCCCCCGCATAATATGGTAAAAAGTTATCCTAAACCAATGGGATATGAGTAGTTTCAGTATAACATAAACATAATATTTAACACTCCGCATAAGTAACATAAACATAATATCTTTGAAAGATAACTTATACTATCGGAAAAACATTTTTTTTAAATATTTTCTCAGCACCAAATTCAAACGCAAAGAGTTTTCATGAAAGGAATTCAAAAAAATAATTTTTGCTGTCTTAGAATCCTGGAATTGGCATGAAAAAAAAATCAGAATTTCATCTTAAAACACAAAACCTTTTGGAGTTTTTCATTTTTTTTTTTTTTTTGATTGCCTGAGCTTAAAAAAATAAAAACCATTTTTACCATTTTAGATCACATACACTTTGAAAATGGCTGTCACAGTTCTGTGCATTTATTTGAATGTTTATTATACATTTGTAATGAAACTTATTATGTTGTCAAAAAAATGAAACTTTTTTGCTAATGGTACCGACATTATGATTAAAACAACATATTTGTTTGTTTGTTTTTTTTTTTCAGAAAAATTACTTTACTAACATTGAAAATAACAGAAACTATTCATTGGAGATAACAGGTTCGCTTTTTTCTCAGTGTACGCTTGGCATCAAACAAATATCATGCATTAGCTATAATATAAGAGTATCTTACATTGTAATGAAAAAAACATACTTACAAAAGATTATATAATAAAGAGTATTACTCAATGTCATTCGAATATTTTCACATTTTTAAAACTTTTAAACGCGCTGTTTTTTGTCTCTGACACATTGTATATTCAAGCTAGACCTGTCGGATCACAGAAAAGTTAATCACTCCGTGACGTTTTTGAATTCCTACGTTTTGAAGTTTTGACAAATTTCTTCTTTTGAAGGTCTCTTAAAGAAAATCGTTTTAGATGGACACGGCCTAAAGTTTTCCAGTTGCCGACTATTCAATTGCGCGGCGATTCACATGTCGCATTCAACATAACCCACATAGATCTATTTAAGTGACGTTGGTTTAATTCCTGGTATATTCATTTAGATGATAGCGCTAAACATACGAAAACACGTTTTTGAAAATTTATTAGAATATTCTGGCCGGACCTGAAAAGAAATTATCAGTTCCCTACCAGAAGACGAGGGGCGTCGAATGACATCTCATACGTTTCGATTGGTGCATGGAAAATGGACTAACCGTGAGTGACGGATCCGCATACCCATACTCACAGTTACACAAATACTGTATAAGTATTAATTTTTTTAATCAAAATACAGAAAAAAGTAAATATTTTATAAGTTTGAAGATCCTCGAAGTGAAATGTCTAAATATATATTTTTTAAATGTCCCGACATTGGGAGGCAGTTGTCTCCCTTGCCCCCCCCCCTGAATACCGCCTCTTTCTTCTTCCCTCTCCCTTTCTCTCTCCGTCTCTCTCTCTCTCTCCCTCTCTCTCCCTCTCTCTCCCTCTCTCTCCCTCTCTTCGTCTCCCTCTCTTCGTCTCTCCCTCTCTCTTCGTCTCTCCCTCTCTCTTCGTCTCTCCCTCTCTCTTCGCCTCTCCGTCTCTTCGTCTCTCCCTCTCTCTTCGTCTCTCCCTCTCTCTTCGTCTCTCCCTCGCTCTTCGTCCCCATCCTCTTCCTGCCCCTGTCTTAGTCTGTCTCGCTGTCTTTAAGTCTCTCTCTGTCTCTACCTCTCTCTGTCCCTCTTATTCACATTTAGGTGCAGATTCTGCACGTTTCTGAGTAGGTGGGGTAATATCGAGAAGCGCCGGGCCAGCAAAAATGCAATAGAATGTTCAGGAAGATCTCATCCTGTAGATTATAGTGTGAGAAGAGTTTCTTAGAAGTCGTTGGCCTTTGGCCTCAAAATTTTAGTTTTTAATGCACTAGAACGCTTCTTTTAGGAATTATTTAACGATATAGATTCAAAAATACTGCCGAGTCTTGCAGGTTGCATTTGGCATTAATATGTAGTTTTGTTCTACAGAGCCATAGTGGAGTTACAACAATATTAACAGCACATAAACCTTCTGGGTGAAAAACACGCGCATGGGCCAACTTTTATCGGTCACACAGGGTCGGAGTTCGCCGCACTTATATATACCAACATCCATTTATATATACTACATAGGAAGTGTTCTAAAGAATTAACCTAGGGGAAAATATAAATAAGTGAATATATAAATAAATAAACATGTTGTTATATAATGTTAAGTCATCCCTATTGTTATTGTAATATAATCCTGGCATAAGGCCTCAACACATGGGCCAATTTGTCGACCGACCGGTGGGACCAAGAAATTGGACTATCCGCTTCACCCTGTCCGACCGACAACCCGATTATTCTGCAGTGCTCGAACTTTCGAAAAGGCATCTATGACGGAAATCTGAAGAAACTAAAGAGCTGCTGTCAGGCTGTTGCACAGTGTTTCCCAACCTCAAAAATCTGGCCAATTTTTTAAATTTTTTTATCATATTTAGAGATGTTTATGATCACAATAGTTTACCCTTATAGCTATAGAGTTAAAATGCAAGTTGAGGAACACATCCTTTGTATTCATCTTCAGGGCCCAATTTGAAAGCTAATCACGTGCAACCGTGTTATATTGCAACGGCGAAAAATACCATCAGCTTAATAATATTTTTGACAAAGTATTTGTACAAATAAAACACGAGTTAAAATACAAGATTTAGTTCAAGTGAATGCTGAATATTTGTTAATTACTGAAGTGAAAAAATGAATGAAAAATTCTGGGGGAAAACGTGTGCTATTGTACATAATAATTCTACAGTCAAATTTGCAATTTACAAAATTTCAAAACCACCCAAGTTGCTTCATCTCATTGCAACTGCATTGCTGGCACGTGTTTGAATAAAGGAGTTTTTAAGCCATTTACTAATGATTTTCTTATGATATTGTATGTAATTTCTACATTTTATCAATAAAAACAATTATATTTCTTTTCGTTGCTTTCATTCTTATAATTATTGTCACAATTCGCTTACATTACCAATTTCGAAAAGTAATTAGCATTTTATGACAAATTTGATCCGCAATTTTATTACTTCAAATTGTCGACGTCATATCATTCATCGTAATCAGCAATCTCCAAACCCCAAGTACCACAGAATTTTTCAATTAATCAACTGTTTTACATTTGAACAAGCGATTTCAGATCAGGAATCGCAGAAAGTTGACCCAACACACAACACTACACAATACACTACACACACACTATACAATTTGTCTGGCAGTACGGTGGGGGAATCGGCGGTCGTGTGGTCAGGACCAACCAACTGCCCGACAAAAATGTCTGCTGGACAACTTACCTCAACACGACGCAATTTGTCGGATTGACATTAGTATGTGTGTTCGGGCCTATAGTAATCGAGTAACTTGCGCCCATCCGTCCGTCAGTGCACCCGTTAATTGAACTACCCGTTCGTTCGTCCGTCGGTCCGTCCATCCATCCGTTACTCATGGAGACTCCTTCCTTCCGGTCCACCATTCCAGACAAATTAGGTCTTATTCGACGAGTCGTGCAACTGCAATATGATTAAAATGTAATTTTATTATGAACCAGCAAAGCACAGATAACATTTTAACATGAAAATATACACCGAAGGTGCCACGCTAAGCGATTTATGATATATTTGTGATACATAGTATGTTTTTTGTTAGAAATCAATGGGGTTCGCTATGATGTCACCAACAAAATGACCTTTCAGTCAAAAAGGTTGAAGTCCACTGGAATAAAGGAACGTAGTCTGGTATAAACACATGAAATATATTTACATCATGGTAGTAGTATGAGTGTTCTTAACTAAATCTCGCTTTGCCAGAATTAATATTAGGGAAAGGTGGTATGGTGCCCGGGGGTCTATTAGAAGTAGGAGAGTAGAGGTAGGATACTGAATAACTAAAACAAAAATGTCAAAAGTGCACTAACAAAATAGTATAAATCTATTGTACCACATTCTCAAATGTAAGTAAAAAGTAAAATATAG